CCTGTCTTAGTCCATTTTCTACTGCTTATTACAGAATACCTGTAACTGGGTAATTTATAAAGAAAAGGAATTTATTTCTTACAGTTACAGAGGCTGAGAAGTCCAAGGTTGAGGGGCCATATCTGGTAAGGCCTTCTTGATGATGGGAACTCTCTGCAAAGTCCTGAGGCAGTGCAGGGCATCAGATGGTGAGGGGGGCTGAGAGGGTTAGTTCGGGTCTCTTCCTGTTTTCTTTTCTTTTTTTTTTGAGACTGAGTCTCACTTTGTCACCCTTGGTAGAGTGTCATGGTGTCATAGCTCATAGCAACCTCAAAATCTTGGGCTAAAGAGATTGTCTTGCTTCAGCCTCCCAAGTAGCTGAGACTACAGGTGCCCACCACAGTGCCTGGCTACTTTTAGAGACAAGGTCTTGCTCTTGCTCAGGCTGGTCTCGAACCTGTGAGCTCAGGCAATACGCCCACCTCGGCCTTCCAGAGTACTAGGATTACAGGCATGAGCCTTGGCACCCGGCCTTTCTTCCTGTTCTTATAAAGCCTTACTAGTCCCATTCCTGAGATAACCCATTAATCCATTAACCTGTTAATCCACGAATGGATAAGTTCACTCATGAAGAAAGAGCCTTTATGATCCAATTATCTTTTAAAGCCCCACTTATCAATATTGACATATCAGAAATTAAATTTCAGATGAGTTTTGGAGGAGACAAATATTCAAACCATAGCACAGGCTAAAAATGGAAACCAACTAGGTGCCCATCAATGGTAGAATAAATAATATGAATACAATATATATTGACACAATGGAATAGCACACCAAAATGAAAATAAACAATCTAAAATGGGTAAGTCTCCTAATAATACTGAACAAAAGAAGCCATAGAGAAGAATATTGTACACTGTGATTCCATTTATATAAAATACAAAAACAGTTAAAACTGCTCTATGGTGTTAAAAGTCAGGACAGCAGGTACCTTTAGGAGATGGTGGTGTTTGTAAGGCAGCACGACAGGGATTC